AAAGTGACAAAAAATGTAAAAAAAGGCAAATGTGGTGCCCAGATATAAAAAGACAACAACAAGACGCTCATAGCTATAAGTTATTATTTCTAACATAAATACTGTCAACAACTTTGGAGAAGAGAACAAGAAAAAAGGATATCAGAGTACTTGAAGAAAATGAGATTCTTTATAGAAAGCCAATAAGGATTTAGGAAAAGAATACACTGCCTTAAAAATTCGCTGGAGGGAGTCGCAGAGATAAGAAAGACGGGGCTGGGCGAATTATATCTTCTTGGACTGTAGGACAGCATTGGATACAGTACCACACAAGAGATTATTCCAGAGATTGGAGGAATAGGCAGGGTTAAAAAAAAAAAAATTGTGTTCCTGCGGGTCAGGAAGAAACTGAATTATAAAAAGCAGAGAATAACAGAGACATCAGAATGGGAAAGAGTAACGAGTGGGGTTCCGCAAAGATCAGTACTAGGACAGCTACTGTTCCTTATGTAAGTGAGCGACCTACCGTAAAGGACTGAGTCCTGTCTCCGTTTGCGGATAATGTATAACTAATGAGAAGAACAAGAACGGGAGACATTTACTGCGTTCAGGAATACCTCAAGTGACTACAGATACACTCAAACAAGTGTCTTCTAGAGTCAGATCCAAACAAATGCAAGGTCATGCATATCTGAGGTGAGGACAGACCAAACATATAGTACATCATACGCTGAAGAAAGTTTGCAAATATCAGAGAATGAAAAGGAGACCAGGGGGATAAAGAAAACAACGAGCATATCACCAGAAATGCACATAAACTGTGTAATATCAGCAATATATGCCAGGTTAGCAAACCTCAGAATAACATTCAAGAACTTGAATAAAGAATCTTAAGTAGCCTATATATGCGATATATGTTAGGCTAGTCACTGAGTACACGGTCCCAGCATAGAGACCACACCTGATAAAGCATGTGAACAAACTGGAAAAGTTTGTAACCAGGCTAGTACCAGAGGTGAGAGAGAAGTGCACTATGAGACGTTGAAGGAACTGGATCTAACCACCCTGGCGGACAGAAGAAAGACTAGCAACGAAATTCCCTCCATAAGAAACTCTTGTTCTAGGTGAGTGGAGCTATCTTCCCATTCCTCACGACCCAAAGTGTTTATAAGAATAATGATAATAATAATAATAATAATAATAATAATAATAATAATAATAATAATAACAATAATAATAATAATAATAATTTATAATTATAAATACAACAGCAGCGAAATTAGAATACACATGGGTGCCACAAACAGCTAACAGAAAAACAGTTAAGAGAACAACAGACATGGTAAGGAAACAGTTAACGAACAACAGACATATAGTAAGCAAACAGTTAGTAGAACAACAGACATATAGTAAGCAAACAGTTAACAGAACAACAGACATCGTAAACAGTGTTCTAGATAATACGGTTGCGGGAAGTTACGTCACCAGCGATCGCAAGTCACTTATTATAATAATAAAGCTTAAGAAATCAAGAGTGAAGCCCTACCAAGCTTACTTGCAAAACTTTTATTTTACATAAGACATTTTCAATGAAAACAAAGAGAAGGAACGGCAAAGCAAATGAATTAATTAAGAAGAATTCTGGGGAGAGTCAGTCTCCTGAACGAATCTGCCTGGATTTCCTACTCTATTTCAGCAACATTGCACGTGCCTGATGATGTGTTGAATGCAACATGAAAGGCCTAAAGCTTTCATTCAACTCCCCCTGTGGTTATCTTGCATCTTTTATCGCTCGTTAGCGATTATTGCAGGGATGAGCAAGGAAGTTTTAGAGTGGGTAGGGGATGTGTAGATCAAGTGTTTACATTGAAGCATATATGTGAACAGTATTTAGATAAAGGTAGGGAAGTTTTTATTGCATTTATGGATTTAGAAAAGGCATATGATAGAGTGGATAGGGGAGCAATGTGGCAGATGTTGCAAGTATATGGAATAGGTGGTAAGTTACTAAATGCTGTAAAGAGCTTTTATGAGGATAGTGAGGCTCAGGTTAGGGTGTGTAGAAGAGAAAAAAAATTGCTTCCCGGTAAAAGTAGGTCTTAGACAGGGATGTGTATTGTCACCATGGTTGTTTAATATATTTACAGATGGTGTTGTAAAAGAAGTAAATGCTAGGGTGTTCGGGGGAGGGGTGGGATTAAATTATGGGGAATCAAATACAAAATGGGAATTGACAGTTACTTTTTGCTGATGATACTGTGCTTATGGGAGATTCTAAAGAAAAATTGCAAAGGTTAGTGGACGAGTTTGGGAGAGTGTGTAAAGGTAGAAAGTTGAAAGTGAACATAGAAAAGAGTAAGGTGATGAGGGTATCAAATGATTTAGATAAAGAAAAATTGGATATCAAATTGGAGAGGAGGAGTATGGAAGAAGTGAATGTTTTCAGATATTTGGGAGTTGACGTGTCAGCGGATGGATTTATGAAGGATGAGGTTAATCATAGAATTGATGAAGAAAAAAAGGTGAGTGGTGCGTTGAGGTATATGTGGAGACAAAAAACGTTTTCTATGGAGGCAAAGAAGGGAATGTATGAAAGTATAGTAGTACCAACACTCTTATAAGGGTGTGAAGCTTGGGTTGTAAATGCTGCAGCGAGGAGACGGTTGGAGGCAGTAAGGTCACGTCTAAGGGCAATGTGTGGTGTAAATATTATGCAGAAAATTCGGAGTATAGAAATTAGGAGAAGGTGCAGAGTTAATAAAAGTATTAGTCAGAGGGCAGAAGAGGGGTTGTTGAGGTGGTTTGGTCATTTAGAGAGAATGGATCAAAGTAGAATGACATGGAGAGCGTATAAATCTGTAGGGAAAGGAAGTCAGGAGAGGGGTCGTCCTCGGAAAGGTTGGAGGGATGGGGTAAAGGAGGTTTTGTGGGCGAGGGGCTTGGACTTCCAGCAAGCGTGAATGAGCATATTAGATAGGAGTGAATGGAGACTAATGGTATTTGGGACCTGACGAGCTGTTGGAGTGTGAGCAGGGTAATATTTAGTGAAGGGATTGAAGGAAACCGGTTATTTTTATATAGCCGGACTTGAGTCCTGGAAATTGGAAGTACAATGCCTGCACTTTAAAGGAGGGGTTTGGGATATTGGCAGTTTGAAGGGATATGTTGTGTATCTTTACACGTATAAGTTTCTAAACTGTTGTGTTCCGAGCACCTCTGCAAAAACAGTGATTATGTGTGTGAGGTGAAAGTGTTGAATGATGATGAAAGTATTTTCTTTTTGGGTCACCCTGCTTCGGTGGGAGACGGCCGTTGTTAAATACATATATATATATATATATATATATATATATATATATATATATATATATATATATATATATATATATATATATATATATATATATATATATATATATATATACTGCAGAAGCGTTTTCGGTCTTTGTTTAAGGTCCTCCCCAGGATGCGACCAACGAGAATTTCTGAACTCCCAGGCAACTATTCATTGCTAGGTAAGAGGGAGCAGCAGCAGGTGTTTAGGAGATTTGCTGATACGTCTCGCCTCGTCTAGGGTTCGACCCGGGGTACTTTCACTTGTGAACTGAACACTCTTACTAACACTGGTGTTGCGAGGCGCTCAAGGTCGAAGCACGTCAGTAGTGTTCTAACATTAATTTAAATTAAGTAATATTTCCTAAACTTGTAGATTTCAATGAACTTTTAAATTAAGAAAAAAAAATAGGGAAACATCATACATAGCAAAGCATAAAAAAATTATTACTTAATATCTTCACACGTTACTGGAAAAAAAATATTGGCGTCACAATGCTCAAGGAATGCTGGCATTTGCTAGCATTTTTTTTTTCTCCGTTGGCCGAGTTTTGGGAATTATTTGACTGGAAATGGGTCCCATTGTATATGCGCCTGAATCTGTAAATGCGTCATTATGAACATCTTTGGTTGTATAAAACGCATCCGGTTCTGGAGTGCCTTTGGTTGTGTAAACACGTTTGGTTCTGGAGTTCCTTTGCTTGTGTAAACACGTGGTTCTGGTAGCGCCTTTGGCTGTGTAAACACGTCTGGTTCTGGAATGCCATTGGTTGTGTAAACACATCTGCTTCTTGCAATGCCTTTGGCTGTGTAAACATGTCTGGTTATGGAGTGCCTTCGGTTATGTAAATATATCTGGTTATGGAGTGCCTTTGGTTGTGTAAACAAGACTGACGTCCGCTGTCAATTCATCCATGTCACTTATGATGCAGTCCGATGAGTGTTGTAGCAAAACTTTCCATAAACATAATAATAACGATGTTAGTATATAATAATAATAAATAATAATAATAATAATAATAATAATAATAATAATAATAATAATAATAATATAATAATAATAATAATAATAATAATAATAATAATAATAATAATAATAATAATAATAATAATAATAATAATAATAATAATAATAAATCAATAATAATAATAATAATGCTGACATCGGTCACGTCTCAGATCAGTTGGAAGAAAAAAAAACTGGACTCGCAGGTAATGTTTGATGTCGGAAACGAACATTCAACGCCTATTAACTCCCCCCCCCCCAATCACTCCCATTGCAACTTGCAGATGCACTGCAATCCTGCCAGGTGAAATGTTTCGAACCTCCTACCAGCAGGGAGCTTCCTGCAGGTCTAACACCACGTTGATGGTGAAGGCTGCTAAACAAGAACATTACATCACTGCCTTGCAATTGATTTATCAATACATCAACAGCTGGGGCAAGTTTACACTTTTAAAGCTTCAGTGTGTTTGTTCCACTGTGTTACGATGTACATCTTTCTTTGCATGAGATAAAACTGTCTTTGCACATCTGTCGTCACTTCACAATGTAAAATAAAGTATTAGTACATCTATTTCAGGGCAAAATAGTATATATAGATTCGTAAATCAGAGAAATTTCTTCCCATTCAGGGTACACGGCATTGATTTTTTACCACACACACACTGTCTGGTTAAGAGCGAACCCGGAGGAATGAACTTGACGGAAAATAAGAAACGCGTGAGTATATGATGAAACACTAATGAGAGGTGAGAGAGACGCAGAGCGACACATCCCCTATTGCAGTCATAGCGGTACTGAGGTTCAGGCCAACTGGCCAGGTTCTTATATCTCTCTATGAAGCGTCCATTGCCAAGCCGCAACAATCAACTTCTTTGCAATTTTTCTCCCCCCAGACGGAATGATAGATCTCGATGTCACTCCTCGGAGAAGTTGTTGTGCATTATGGAGCTGTCCAGTTGCTCTGAGTCTAGTGTACTGGTAGTGGTGGTGCTGGAATATATTCATTGAGGGCTGGTCCATTACCGAGAAGCAATGACTGCAATTCCACAGCTTCGGGGAAGTTATTATTTGCCTCCTGCTTTAGTTCGTTTTTTGTTCTTTTAGCAGTTATTGAAGTTATGGATTTAACTGTTAAGTTCATTAATCCCGTCAGTTTCTAAGCTCCTTGCCGTGCTTGTGTCTACGAAAGGTACAAAACAAGAAATGCTCTCCTGCTGTCGTTGCATGTGTCTCAGCGATGAGGTGCTATGGATGAGTAAGACACATGTGTAACACCTAGGCATCTTTACTGAAGATGTTACGCCAACCCGTGTATTTTTTAAGACAATACTGAGAATGGTCGAGACAGTGGAATCTCTCTATGCTTCAGCTAAATCCCCCACTGCTTCTCACCAGCTCTTACAATTGCCGCACAATATCGACCTTATTATTTTCGCCAGGGGCGCATTTATAATTCATATATCATCAGCTAGTGCAAGGGTAGATAATCTCTCAGCTGCCTTCAGAAACTTCAATAAAGATTCCATCTGAACAAAGTACACGCCGTATATTAGACAAGTTGTAGAATACGCAGCACCAGCATGGAGCCCACTGCTTGAGGAAGCATGTTCAGATGCTAGAAAAGTTCCAAAGGTTTCTGAAATAAGAGGGCTGAACCGTGAGGATTATTTCAGTGTGTACATTACCGAGGTATTAAACGTGTCTAATTCATCAACGTGTCGGTATCCTATACCATGAATGATACGTTTCAGCACTATGGAACGTTGATACAGACTTATACAACCTGTCTGCTAACTTCTGGACCAATTCTCGGACGTGACCTCTTTCCATGAATTCATAGTATGCATTAATGGGGTAAAATAAGAATTGGGACCAGTCACAAGTGGCGTTCCACAAGGATCATTTTTAGACCCTATACTGTTCACACTTTACATAAATAACCTTGAAGAGGGAATAAATAGCGACATGACTAAACTAGCTGACGACACAAAAACAACGTGAATAATAGATTCTGAGGAAGATACTACTGAACTTCAGGAAGACTTAGAGAAATTAATGTCGTGGTCCGAAAAATGGCAAATGCTGTTATTGTGGATAAATACAAAGTGCAGTGCCTGGAGAATGCAAATAACCTATGAAGTTATAAAGAATCTAGTCATACAGAATGTGAAAAGGTCTTTGGAGCCACGGCAAGCAGATATCTGAAGGCAAGACAGCAGGGCCTAAGCGTACGAATTAAGGCCACCTGATTGCTTGGATTTTGATCAAGTGTAACAGGAATCAAGAGGTTACACTGGTTAAACATCATCAGTAAGGTCACATTTTTTGAAGGCTGAGGGACCGATTTCCTCATTTTCTACTGTCTCCAATTAATAACCCATGTATTAAATTAATAAAATCACTGGTTGGCGAAGCGTCTTCAAAATAGAAATATCCAACAATTGCACATTTGTCTAATTCATCAATTGCTCTTTGATCCTCGGAATTCGAAATATGCCTTTTCCCCACCCCGGATCAAAGCTGATTACTTCCCATTCCCCGGGCGCTGCATAACCTCCTTCAGGTTCTGCTCTTCCTGATTAATAATAATAATAATAATAATAATAATAATAATAATAATAATAATAATAATAATAATAATAATAATAATAATAATAATAATAATAATAATAACTTGACTCAAATCACGGAACGGATTGAACCCATGACAGTTTAGTGAGTCTTAGTACTCGCCATATTTCAGATTCAACCCATTTCGTGATTTAATATTACATGTGTTATGAACGCCCTATAGCGTCCTGAGTGACGTCTGCGTCAGTGAGCGTCGGAACACGGGTCTGCGGCGGCGGACGTCACCAACGACCTTCCTACACTCGTCTTTCTCTATCCTCACTTGATTACTGGCGACGATAGTCTCCATTTAGTAAGTAAGTAAGTAAGTAAGTAAATTTATTCAGGTATACACAATACAGTTACATAGAATTATCATACATAGCAGCATATGTGTAGAGAACCTAGGATAACCCAAAAAAGTCAGAGTGACTTATTTCCATTGGGGTCCTCCCCGGACGTTTGTCCACGTCATACACTACATGCTGGCCACTTGGTCGTCCCGGCATACAGCCATATACACTGAGTCCATCTCACTGAATCAGTTTTACTGTGAATATCATTAATGTCGCATACAAATGCATGTAAAATATTATCTCATTACATTCTGTAATAATACAGGTAACTAGTTTCACTCTTATTGTAACTTTTATCTGAATTATATTGTAAATTATGGAATAACCTTAAGGTACTATAATCTAAGTGTTCTTATTCCCGCGTAACTTACCATGATTTTAACTGCTTCATATACTTTATTTAATATTCATGTAATCTATTTTATTGTGAAAATCATTACTGTATTGTATACATATGGTAAAATTCTTTAGTCCTTGTGGACGTGGGTTAGGTTTAAGCTTGTCAGAAATGCTCTACATAACTTAAGATACTTTTTATGTGAGAGTTGTAATGTCATCTAATGTTACACAATGTTGTATTATGTGGAAATAAATGGATTAACTGACATACATTTTTTCTTTTTTTTTTTCTCTCTGCTCTCGCGGATTTTTACGGCTTGGGTGAAGCCGGTTGCTGATTTATTGGTGCATGGCCGTCTGGCTATGCCGGGGTTTATGGGGGTCCACCTGACCCCATTGAAAAATTATTTTTCCCCTTCTCTTTTTCGAAAAGAAACTCATTTTCCATTCCCGGTTCCCATCTTGTTTCGGGCACAATTCCTTTCCCAGAGACCTAGGATGCAGGGTTCATTACGGCGCAAGGTTTGGTGGCCCTATACACCCCCAACAAAGTTAGACGTGGCAGGGAAAGGTGTCTTCTTAACTAACTACAAATACTCTTCACTCAGCACGAAAAAAGAACAAAATGGAGCTTCATGTCGTATAAAAAGAAGTAGAAATAGAACTTCTTGCCATTTTTACCTTCAAAAATTGATTGATTAACCTCTTGACGTGTAACTCAGGAACTCTGCGTAATTTTGTGGTGATTATTTCATGTTATTTGTTAATGTGGCTTTGTTGGTTTGCTTGTTTATCTTATAAATGAGTAAAGCAATAACTAAAACAAATTGAAGAAATAGTGGAAATCTAAGCCATTAAAAAAAAGAATAACTAACAGTTTGATTATTGATTTTTATTCAGGTTAATGTCAGAAACATGACTTATTTACTCCAGCCTTGAAATGACGAAGTGATTAATATTAAATATAATAAAATTTAGCTTAAAAAATGTAAATCATATGTCTAGCTTAAGTCGTCTGATGTAGACTACAGATATAGATGGATGGAATAAACTGTCTTGACCAGCTTCTAATTAAGTTTATATTAATATTGTCTCCTCAAGGGAGATTCCTTGATGCTGGTGAGGGGCTCTTGATCTAGGGAATTGGATTACATGCGCTGTATAATCCTATGGGTTTAGTGCTCCCCCATGATTATAATAATAATATATTGTATAGTATTAAAAGATTGAAGTCAGGCTAACCAGTTTACCTGAATTCCTTCATAAATGTTAACCTTCCTTATTCTTCAACAGTGCATCATACCCTAAAAATACACTTATCATCACTTATTTTAATCTAAAATCCACTTATCACTCATTTTGATCTAAAATCCACTTATCACTCATTTTGATCTAAAATCCACTTATCACTCATTTCAGTTTAAAATCCACTTATTATCACTCTGAACTAACATGCTTAAACATACTTCCATCACTTACAACATCTTGCAACCCCCATACCTCCTTTCCATTCTGGGATAACCCTATCCCTTACATCCCTCCAGCCCTGATTCATATGCCCTCTTTGCCATGCCATTCTGCTCCTTTTCTAAATGGCTAAACTCTCAACTTCCCCTTGTCAGCCCTTCAAATTGTGTCTTTAGTAACCTTTTGTTGTCTTCTAATTTCTTCACTCCCAATTCTCTGCATAATATTCACACCACAAATTGTTCTCCAAGTGGATACTATTTCCAGGGTTTCTAGCATTCTCTTCTCTGCAACATTTAAAGTCCATACCTCACACCCATATAACAATGTTGGCACTACTTTCCTCAGGTACATTCCCCATTTTGCCTTCATGGATTAACATCTGTGCATAAATGCTTCAAAACACTATTTATCTTTGGAGAAATGGGCTGCTATCTTTCTGACAGACTTAAAGAGCACAAAAACAGTGTTATGCTTGTCGACACCAATAATGCTATTTTCTGTTATGTTAGAGATCACAGTCATCCTGTTGACTGGACCTCTGCCAAAACTGTCTTATCCTACTTCTAGCCTTCACAGCCATTATCTTGTTGAAACATCCCTTAAGCACTGCTTTCTTAGTATGAAATTATTCCTGGCTTTGTCTCTGTTGATGCCTTCCTTTCTCTATACATTGTCAAATGCTCCAAACTTCAGACTTGACCTAACCCTTTCTTCTCTCCCTACTCCTTCTCCTTTCCTGTTTTTTGTTATTTCTTTCTTTGTTTTTCCTTTCTTCTGCCTAGTTTGTTCTGTCCTTCAGTTCATCCCCCCTCCTTCCTCATCCCCTGTGTTTTTGGTCCTATCCCTTGTGGGCTCTTAGCTCTCCTGCAGTGCTTTTTTTCTTGTCCTTAGATTTACCCCACTTCTACTATTATTATTACAATGACCACCACTCCTTTACTACTATTACTGCTTCTACCTTCTACCTTTTCTACTACTATTACTACTACTATTGCCTCCCTTCTCTCTCCTTTCTATCTCTTCTGGCAAAAAAACTACTCCCCATACTTTTCTGCTACTACTGTACTTCCACTACTGTTTCCATTACCAGCATTACCACTACCTTTACTTTTTCTTCCTCTCTTTCTCTGTTGTAGTGGTTGCTTATTTGTCAGGAAGTAGTGCAGTGTCTCCTGAGAAATTTTACCTAAATGATGCTTACAGCACCTTATTTTAATGTAAAAAGGTTCTTGTCAGGTTTTCTTGCAGTGTTACCAGTACATACTCTGTAAATTACATGTTTTTTTAATATAGTACTGAATTTTATTATTTAATAGTAAATTCAGTAGTACCTTTGTTTTTCAGTTAAGATGAGTAAGAGTAGCAGTGTGAGTGTGACATTAGGGGAGACTCTCGGTCAACCTAAAAAGAATGTTGTGGAGCTCTTTGGGTTCCCAGTGTCCAGGCTCCCGCCTACACCACAGTTTATTTTCCTCTCAACGGCTGTCTTTATTTTCTACATTGCCTACGGCTACATGCTTGTAAGTAGAATTAATTATTAACCATAGGGATATCTCTTTAACGATGCCATCATTTTTTGTCTTCAGATTCACCGTGTACTTTAGATTTTAGTAAACTAGTTAATTCTGATGGTGTTTCATTTTGACATTTAAATTAGAATGATAATTTATTATTTTGTTTTTATTTTATTACTTAGGAATTTCAATATTTTTTTTACAAATAAAGTTGTGTTTACACATATAGCAGTTGATTTATTCACATGTATTAAGACAGAGTACTAATTCTTGTCCAGTTGTATACAGTATTCTTGCATAGTGTCTTCATAATATTTTGTAATCAGTCTAAACTGATTATTATTATTATTATTATTATTATTATTATTATTATTATTATTATTATTATTATTGTTGTTGTTGTTGTGAGGAAGTACTGAAACCAATAAGAGTTATACTGCACCAAGGTGGTGGTAGTCTTGGAGAGGCAAATTTACTTGACTTTGGAAATATAAACACATATGCAGTATAATGTGATCCTTTATTGACTATGTTTCGCCCACACAGTGAGCTTTTTCAAGTCACAAACAGATCTACCTGGGGTGGAAGGGACGCGAGTATTTATAGTCAGGTTCAGAATGCTGAGGTCAGGTGGAGAATGCTGCATCTGATGATGTACTGAGTGGGGTTATAGAGTCTAAAATCTTGGGTAGCTTGGAAAGGAGATTGGATAAATTTGTGAGCAGACCTTCTACAGTGTTCTTCCATTCTTGTGTTCTTATGTGGGATAGCGATGAAGAAGTTTCTTGGCAAGTGGTTCAGCTATGTTATAGAAGCCACTATTCTGGTTGAAGTTGTCGGATATAGAAATAAGTGATGATTCCAGGATTCTTCGGTATTGAGTGTTGTCTTCTGTGGCGATAAGTCTTGAGTTTCTGTAGTTTATCAAGTGGTTGTGTGAATTACGGTGTTGTACACAGGCATTCCTTGTGTCGTCAGACCTGCTTGCGTATTGATGTTCTGAAATACGTGTTTGGAGGTCCCTTGATGTTTCGCCCACGTATAATTTGTTGCAGTCATTACAAGGGATTATGTATACCCCTGCAGAGGGTGGAAGCTTGTCCTGTCTATCACTGGTAATGTCCTTGACTTTGTTGTTGCATTTTTAGTGATTATGACAGCTTATACCATATGAGCCCTGCTTCCTGAAGTTTGTTCACTTAGCAATTAAACATTGGACTAACCAGCTTGCTTGTGACATATAGAAAGGAAAACATAGATACATGAACAGTGGACCCTCGTTTTTTGTAAGGCTCGAAAGTTGTAATTTTAAAAAATCTTAACTTTTTTTCGTCAAAACATTGACGAATCGCCTTTTGACTTGCAAATAGTCATTCACCTCGGACGCGTACTCACAGCCCCGAGTCGCCTCGCACTCCATTCCCAGCCAGTGTAGCATCGTTTACCAGTGAGTGACCATCCCATTCATTTTAGTGCTTGCAACTGCTAAATAAGCTACCATGGCTCCAAAGAAAGCTCCTAGTGCCATGCCTTTGGTAAAGAAAGTGAGAACGACTGAATTCAAGAAAAACATCATTGAACAATATGAAAGTGGTGTACATGTGGCAGAACTGGCCAGGAAGAAACCCCATACAACCATAGCTTCTATCATGGCCAAGAAAAAGAAAATCAAGGGAGCTGTTGTTGCAAAGGGGGTAAATAGGCTGACAAAAATGAGATTGCCAGTACTCGAAGATGTTGAGAAGCTATTGTTGGTGTGGATCAACTAGAAACAATTAACAGGAGATAGTCTTATGCAGCCGCTTGTTTGTGAAAAGGCTAGGCAGTTGCATGACGATCTCGCAAAGAAATTGCCTGCAACAAGTACAGTGGTCCCTCGTTTTTCGTAATTAATCCGTTCCTGGAAGTGTGACTATTATCGAAATTGACGATTTTCGAATAAATTTCCCCATAAGAAATAATGAAAGTACAATTAATCCGTTCCTGACACCCAGAAGTATTAAAACAAAATTTTTTTTTACGTGAAATATAGATGCAGTACATAAACAATACAATGGGACATGATGAATGAAACATTAACAGCATAACACTTACCTTTATTGGCGATTCTTCTTAGTGTATGGAAGACTGGAGGAGGAGAGAGATTGGATTAGTTACTGTTTGGAAGGGGAATCCCCTTCCATTAACACCTCAGGTACCAAGTGCTTTTCTGGGGTTACTTCTCTTCTCTGTCTCTTAATGCCACTAGGACCAGCTTGAGAGTCATTGGAGTCCTGTCTCACAAAAAAAGTGTCCAGTGAGCTCTGTTTCTGGCGTCTCTTTAAAACTTCCCTAAAATGGGCCAAGACTCTGTCACTGTACAAGTTGCCGATATGGCTTGCAACATCCTTCTCAGGGTGATGTTTCTCCATAAATCTTTCCATCCTACCCCACATTTCACCATGCCTTATCACACTGTGTATGCCACTATGCTTCTTAAATCTCTCAAACCAATCTTTGCTGGCCTTAAATTCACAATTATCAGTACTCGTTGCAGGCAATTTCTTTACCAGATCGTCATGCAGCTGCCTAGCCTTTTCACAAATAATTGACGTCATAAGAGTATCTCCTGCTAATTGTTTCTTGTTTATCCACACCAATAATAACTTCTCAACATCTTCGGGTACTGGTGATCTCATTTTTGTCAGCATATTTACCCCCTTTGCAACAACAGCTTCCTTGATTTCCTTTTTCTTGGTCATGATGGAAACTATGGTTGTATGGGGTTTGTTATACATCCTGGCCATTTCAGCCACATGTACGCCACTTTCATATTGTTCAATGATGTTTTTCTTAAATTCAATCGTATTTCTCACCTTCTTTACCAAAGGCTTGGCACTAGGAGCTTTCTTTGGAGCCATGGTAGCTCATTTAGTAGTTGCAAGCACTAAAATGAATGGAATATTATGTAATATTTCGTATGAACAAGTGACGGGACCGTCACTCACTGGTAAACAATGGCACGCTGGCTGGGAACGGCTCAGAGCCATGAGTATGCGTCCCAGATGAATGACTATTCGCGAGTCAAACGACGATTAGCGAGCCAATGTTTTGACGAAAATAACGTTACGATTTTCGAAAATTACAACTATCGAGCCTTACGATTATTGAGGGACCACTGTACTGATATTTGTGAATTTAAGGCCAGCAAAGGTTGGTTTGAGACATTTAAGAACGGTAGTGGCATATACAGTGTGATAAGGCATGGTGAGGCTGCCATTTCTGACAAAAATGCAGCTACAAAATTCGTAAGTGAATTCAAGGAGTACATACAGACTGAACAATTAAAACCTCAACAAATGTTCAATTGTGACGAAACAGGCCTCTTTTGGAAGAAGATGCCAAAGAGGACCTACATTACTTAGGAGGAAAAGGCACTGCCAGGACACAAGTCTATTTATGAAAGACAGGCTGACTCTCATGTTTTGTAGTAATGATAGTGGGGATTGCAAAGTGAAGCCATTACTAGTGTACCATTTTGAAAATCCCAGAGTGTTCAAGAAAATGTCATGAAGAGTAAATTGTGTGTGTATTGGAAAGCTAACACTAATAAGACATGGGTCACGAGGGAAATTTTCCTTGAGTGGTTCAATGAAGTGTTTGGCCCCAGTGTGAAGAATTACCTCCTGGAAAATAAATTAGATCTCAAGTGCCTCCTGCTAATGGATAATGCACCTGCTCATCCTCCAAACTTGGATGACCTAATTCTGGAGGAGTTTGGGTTTATCAAAGTGAAGTTCTTGCCCCCTAATACCACTCCTCTCCTCATGCCCATGGACCAGCAGATCATTTCAAATTTTAGAAAACTCTACACCAAAGCAATGTTTCAAAGGTGCTTTAATGTGACCTCAGACACTCACTTGACCCTAAGAGAATTTTGGAAAGACCACTTCAGTATCCTCCTTTGCATAAGCCTTATAGGTAAGGCTTGGGAGGGAGTTACTACCAGGGCTTTAAACTCTGCTTGGAGAAAATTGTGGCCAGATTGTGTCCACAAGAGGGATTATGAAGGGTTTGGGGTTGACCCTGACAAGCCTGTGGCAGTTGTGGAATCTATTGTGGCATTGGGGAATTCCATGGGGTTGGATGTGAGTTTGGAGGATGTGGAAGAGTTGTTGGAAGACCACAACGAAGAGCTAACTACTGACGAGCTGCAAGAGCTTCAGCTGGAACAGCAACATACTGCAGCTCAGAATATTGCTTCAGAGGAGGAGGAAGAGAGATGGAAGAAGTTGCCTTCTTCAGAAATTAAGGAGATTTTTGAAATGTGGAGTAGGATGGAAAGATTTATGGAGAAACATCACCCTGACAAAGCTGTTGCAAGCCATGTCAGCAACATGTACAGTGACAAAGTCTTGGCCCATTTTAGGGAAGTTTTAAAGAGATGCTGGAAACAGAGCTCACTGGACAAATATTTAGTGCCACAGGTGTACAGTGACTCTCAAGCTGGCCCTAGTGGCATTAAAAAACAAAGAAGAGAAGTAACCCCAGAGAAGCACTTGGTACCTGAAGTCTTTATGGAAGGGGATTCCCCTTCCAAACAGTAAATAATCCAATCTCTCCCTTCCTCCAGTCTTCCATACACTAAGAAGAATCGCCAATAAAGGTAAGTGTTATGCTGTTAATGTTTCATTCATCATGTCCCATTGTTTTGTGTATGTACATCCATATTTCATGTAAAATAAATTTTTGTTTTAATACTTCTGGGTGTCTGGAACTGATTAATTGTATTTACATTATTTCTTATGGGGAAAATGGTTTCACAGCTTGTTAATTTTGATAATAGTCACACTTTCTGGAACGGATTAATTACGAAAAACGAGGGTCCACTGTATGTTAATATTGTGGTCAAAACTAGAGTCTCTCGAAAGGACTGAAACTGTAAGATTTTGAAGCCTTCTTGAGCCAGATCCTGGCAGTCTTGTAAGAGCAGTGTAAAATGTTTGACACTTTTCACTGAGAGAAAATTAAAAAATTACACACACCCCAATTTTGGTGAAAAGTCTCTCTCACTCACGATATGTGAATGTACTGCTGTGAAAAACATTACACTTCTTTTCCCCACTAGTTGATCTTCCAGCATTATCAAATCCAACCTTGACTGCTACAATATTTAGGAATTTCATTTCATTTTTTTTTTAACTCACTGGCCATTTACCAAGGCATGGTGACCCAAAGAAGAAAACCCATTTATCATAATTCATTCAATTGCTGTCTTTCCAGCAGTGTTCTTCCATCACAGTCAGATTACCCTCACACTGCAACATCCCCAGTCCAAGTGCAGGCAGTTGCTTTGCTCACCTTTCATACTATCATCGTTCTTTAATTGCAGGACAGTTAACTGTAATTTTTGTTAAATTTTTTTCTAATTCTAGTTATCATCTACTGTATTATTTAAATTATAACTATGTACTGTATTTGTCAGATTAATTCTAATGCCCTGATAATGATATTTGTTTAGGGAAATATCTTAAGTTGTGCACTATCAACTGGATATAATAATAATAATAATAATAATAATAATAATAATAATAATAATAATAATAATAATAATAATAATAATAATAGCAATAACAATAATAATAATAATAATACAGTTTAACCTCATTTTTTGGCCGTAATCCATTCCAGGTAGTCAGCCTAAATTCGAAACGGCCTAAATTCGAAGCAGTATTTCCCATAATAATTTTTTAAAGGCTAATTATAGTTTTACATGCACAAAACAATGAAACTAAATAAAATAAATTAAGAACATTTAAATCACTATTAAATACCTTTATTGAAGATGCTTGTTGACTTATGGAAGACTGGGAGGAGAAAGGGAGGGCAAATTATTGTTTGGAAGGGGAGTCCTCCTCCATAAGGACTGTAGGTATCAAAGCCCTCTCTGGGGTTACTTCCCTTCTTTGTCTCTTAATGCCACTAGGACCAGCTTGAGAGTCACTGCTCCCCTGTTGCACAAAATAACTGTCCAGAGTGCTCTATTGCTGGCATCTCTTTAAGATTTCACTAAAATGGGACAAGGTTTTGTCACTGATCATGTTGCAGATATGGCTTGTTTCAGCTTGGCCAGGGTGATATTTCTCCACAAAAGTTTGCACCTCATTCCACTTTGCACAAATGTCCTTAATCACTGAAGAAGGCGCATTCTTCCCTCTCTGTTCCTCCTCCTCCTCTGAATCAAGTTCCTCAACTGTGGTCTGTTGCTGTTCCAGTTGAAGGTGTTGCAGCTCTTCAGTGGTTAGCTCTTCCCTGTGGTCCTCCACCAACTCTTCCACATTCTCGCCACTCACATCCAACCCCATGGACTTCCCCAATGCCACAATAGATTCGACAACAGGCAGAGGGTCGACAGCGTCAGAGTCAGCCTCAAACCCTTCAAAATCCTTTTCGAGGACACAGTCTGGCCGCAGTTGTCTCCAAGAAGAGTTCAAAGTCCTGGAAGTCACTCCCTGCCAAGCCTTACCTATAAGGCTTGTGCAGTTATAGATATTGAAGTGATTCCTCCAGAACTCTCTTAGGGTCAATTCAGTGTCTGAGGTCACTTCAAAGCACTTTTGAAACACTGCTTTTGTGTAGAGTTTTTTGAAGTTAGAAATGATCTGCTGGTCCATGGGCTGAATGAGAGGAGTGGTGTCAGGAGGCAAGAACTTCACTGTTATAAAATGGAAATCCCTAGACAATAGGTCTACCAAGTTTGGACGATGAGCAGGAACATTGTCCATTACAAGGAGGCACTTGAGTGGCAATTTATTTTCCAGGAGGTAAACACTTCATGAACCCAGTCAATGAAAGTTGCCTCGTGACCCATGCCTTATGATTAGCTTTCCACATCACACACAATTTACTCTTGACGACATTGTTTTTCTTGAACACACTTGGATTTTCCGAGTGATACATGAGTAAAAGCTCACTTTGAAATCCCTACTAGCATTAGCACAGAACAAAAGAGTTAGCCTGTCTTTCATAGGCTTGTGTCCTGGCAGTACCTTTTCCTCCTCTGTGATGTTGGTCCTCTTTGGCATTTTCTTCCAAAAGAGGCCTGTTTCGTCACAATTGAACACTTGTTGGGGTTGGTATTCTTCAGTCTGTACATACCCTTTGAATTCCTGCACAAATTTTTCAGCCGCATGTTTGTCGGAACTTGCAGCCTCACCATGTCTTACAACACTGTGTATGCTATTATGCTTCTTAAATCTCTCAAACCAGCCTCTGCTGGCATTAAATTCACTAACAACATCACTAGTTCCAGGCATTTTCTTTATGAGATCAGCATGCAACTGCCTTGCCTTTTCACAAATGATCATGTCTGAAACACTATCTCCCGCTAACTTTTTTTCCCTGATCCACAACAACAACTTCTCCACATCTTCATTTGTTTGTGATTTCTTTTTTGTTAACATGTTTACCCCTTTTGCCAGGATAGAAGTGATTGTTGATTTGTTATTGCCATACATCCTGGCAAATTCCAGCATCCGCACACCACTCTCATATTTTTCTATTACTTCCTTCTTAAATTCCATTGTGTTTCTCACTTTCTTTACCAAAGGAACTTTACTAGGAACTTTTTTGGGGCCCATGGTGACTTATTTCACAGTCGCACTTAATAAAAAAAACACAAAAAATGTTTGGATGAATGCACGGAATATATGCTCACTCGCTGACAGACAAAGGGAGACTGACTTGCTATGCATAGCGTCCCAGTGGGAGGTAGGCTGACACGTCTAATACGGCCGGTATGCAAGGCAATGGCCAAAATACGGAGCAAAATTTCTGCCGAAAAAATGGCCTAAATATGAATCGGCCAATAAAAGCAACGGCTGAAAAATGAGGTTCCGCTGTATCTTTATTTCTACAAGTACATGTACAAGGTATACAGGCCTAGTTGACATCAGTGACATACTACTATATAGAAAGCCGCTTGTTATACCTGGAGTTTACCTGGAGAGAGTTTCGGGGGTCAACGCCCCCGCGGCCCGGTCTGTGACCCGGCTGATCAGGAACTGACTTTAGGTGCTTGTCCAGTGCCAGCTTGAAGACTGCCAGGGGTCTGTTGGTAATCCCCCTTATGTGTGCTGGGAGGCAAATTAGGTCAGTTTTGTCCCAGGATGCGACCCACACCAGTCGACTAACACCCAGGTACCCATTTTATACTGATGGGTGAACAGGACAGCAGGTGTCTTATGGAAACATGTTCTAGTGTTTTCCAGCTGTACCGGGGATTTAAACTCCAGACCTCAGTGTTTGAGCTGATTGCTCTAACGATCAAGCTACGGGAACACAAATAAATATGAATGAAAACTAAAATACTGCATAGGTATTTGCTACTCAGATAATCCATAATCTTATTTTTAATTAATAATTTTATAAGTTGTGATTAACTGTTTTAGTAATTTAATGTATTAGGGAGAACAGGATGCAGAGCATCATGTTTCCAGCAAACATTTAGTGTACACTAATACTTAATATAGATCCATTTTTTTAAATGCCTGATGCTATTTGCTAATCAGTTACCTTTTTGGTGACTGTGATTATTTCTCTGCTTCAGGAACTGATATTTACGTTGGAAGGCATGCAGCCTCACGGCTGGTATCTGACGTTGGTGCAGTTTGCTTTTTATACAATATTTGCGCTCCTTCAGATAATTTTATCTGGCAGTGCTCTTACTAGAAAGTAAGTAATTTTCAGATAACTATCAGGAGTAGTGAATTCTTTAAGTGGGTAAGGAAGAGTTTTAAAGTGTGATAAACAGAAATTAGGAGCATTTCAGGACAAGACAACCAGTGCCTAACACCAATTCAGATTTTGTATTCAAGATTATCCATTGCTCTGAACTCAGGTCTGTAAATCTTAGCTCAGCCTGGCCTGTAGGTCAAGAGTTATGACCTATATCATTTTGAGGTCATGACTTGGAACACCATAATATGGGTAACAACCATTTTTATACCTCTTAGAGACAGAAGCACAGGAGGTTGATTGATCTGTATATTTTGACCCCCTTCTGGGATCCTCTTCTGCTGAAGAGGATTCCAGAAGGGGGTCAAAATATACAGATCAATCAACCTCTTGTGTGTCTGTCTCCATCTGGGTTATTATTGAGTGTTGACAAGTGTTCGTTACACTTCGGTTATTTGTATCTCTTAAATTATAAGTATATACAGAAGTTAGTTCAGAGCATTGGATAACTTTGAATACCAAATTTGAAGAGATTTAAAGAGGGTAGTGTGTGTTAAATTCCAAAAATATTGGTTATCTTGTACTGGAATTTCCTGCATGAGAGGAACATTTGTTAAGAGGAAGCATTGCAGTTTAAGGAAGATGAGATTATAAACAAACAAATTTTATTTCTTTGTCCATTATAAGAATGTAGTTTACATGTAATCATGCATGCTTATGCATTTCAGGAGTACAGTGTATGTATTTTAAAATATTTGCTGGTTGAAAACCAATTTGTTTGCTAGTTAAAATAACTAATTAATTTTGTGTCTCTTTTTAATAATAAAGCTTAAAATTAACAAAAATAAAAAAAATGCTGTGCACTAATAAAATACAGTGGACCCCCGCATAACGATGGCATCGCATAGCGATTTTTCCGCATAACGATTACTTTTATCGCAAAATTTTTGCCCCGCATACCGATTAAAAACCCGCATACCGATTTTCGTCCGAGACGCGTCCAATGTGCCCTCACATGTGCCGGCCGTCCCATTGTTTACCAGCCAGCCTCCGCGGTAACATCCAAGCATACACTCGGAATATTTCGTATTATTACAGTGTTTTCGGTGGTGTTTCTGGAAAATAAGTGACCATGGGCCCCAAGAAAGCTTCTAGTGCCAACCCTGTGGTAAAAAGGGTGAGAATTAGTATGGAAATTAAGAAAGATTTTGAAGGGTTTGGGGCTAACCCTGAGAAGCCTATGCCAGTTGTGGAATCCATTGTGCCTACTTCAAAGATTAAGGAAATGTGTGCAGAGTGGTTTGAACTGCAAACCTTTATAGATGAAAATCACCCTGACACAGCTGTTGCAAGCCGTGCTTGTGACTATTTCAATGACAATGTTATGGCCCATTTTAGGAAAGTCTTGAAGAAACGGGAGGTACAGAGCTCTATGGACAGATTTGTTGTGCGACAGAGGTCCAGTGACTCTGAAGCTGGTCCTAGTGGCATTAAAAGAAGAAGGGAAGTAACCCCAGAAAAGGACTTGCTACCTCAAGTCCTAATGGAAGGGGATTCCCCTTCTAAACAGTAAGAAGATAATGCTCTCCCCTCCTCCCATCCCATCAATCATCACCAGATCTTCAATAAAAGTAAGTGTCATGTAATTGTGCATGCCTTTTTCAGTTTGTGTGTATTAAAATTAACATTTCATGTGGTAAAAAAAATTTTTTTTCATACTTTTGGGCGTCTTGCACGGATTAATTTTATTTCCATTATTTCTTATGGGGAAAATTAATTCGCATAACGATTATTTCGCATAACGATGAGCCCTCTTGCACGGATTAAAATCGTTAACCGGGGGTCCACTGTAATAAAAATCATCTCTTCGTCACGAATATTTATACTGGTTGGTGGGTAAGACACTTGAGCAACAGTTAGGCAACTTTATTCCAAAACGTTTCACTTATACAGTAGGCTTTTTCAGTCGAGTACAGAAAGCAGGCAGGAGCAGTAGAGATATGAAGACGATGTAATCAGTCTGGCACCCTTGAAGTCGTAGATTTGAGGTTGTCAGTCCCTCAGCCTGGAGAAGAGTTCTGTTCCATAGTCTGAAACAGTTGGAGGAGACAAGTGACAGTGTGGAGACTTATATACTGTCGGAAGGAGAGGTGCAGGGTTGTAGAAGAGAGACTGTAGTCACTGAGAGGTCATGTCCCTCTCAGATCCAACAGGTCTCGCTTGAAAAAATTGTCCAAGGTGTTTTCCCTTCTGTACCAAGATGGTACAGAAGAGTACTTTCTGTACTCGACTGAAGAAGCCTACTATGTAGGCAAAAAGTTTTGGTATAAAGTTGATTAACTGTTGCCCATGTGTCTTACCTACCATCCTGTTGGTATTGTATGCCATTTTGATACTCACAATATTTGTACTGGAGAACTTAATAATAAAATATTATTGTGTTGTAAGCGTGCCTCTGGCAAGACAGTGATGGAGTGAATGATGATGAAAGTGTTTCTTCTTCTTTTTTGGGTCACCCTACCTTGGTGGGAAATGGCTCATGTGTTAATAAAAAAAATATTGTATTGTATGTGGTATTATACAGTGGACCCTCAACCAATGGCTTTAATCCGTTCCAGAGAGCTAGCCTTTAGTCGAATTAGCCATTAGTTGAATTAATTTTCCTTATAAGAAATAATGGAAATGGAATTAATCCGTTCCAGACACCCAGAAGTATTAAAAATATTTTTTTTACAAGAAATATACATTTCCCTACACAGAAACCAATGGTACATGCAAAATAAACAATAATTAAATGCCACTTACCTTTATTGTGGAGTTGTTGATGAGTGATGTGCCAGGAGCAGGGGAGATTCAAGTGTTCTATTGTTTGGAAGGGGAATCCCCTTCCATAAAGACTTCAGGTACCAAGTCCTTTGCTGGGGTTACATATGCACTCCACTTTCATATTTTTCAATTATCTCTTTCTTCAATTCCATTGTAATTCTCACCCTTTTTATCACAGGATTGGCACTAGAAGCTTTCTTGGGGCCCATGGTGGCTTATTTAGTGGTTACAAGCACTAAAAACAAAGGAATAATACAAAATATATCGCAGGTACACATGGAATCGACTGCAATGGCTTGTAAACAATGGCACACTGGCTATATATGGGGTCTTGAAGTGGCTGGGCCTGCTCAGGCTGCATGGACACGTTCAGGATGCAAGCCTTTAGATGAGTTTTTTACCGTTGGTAGAGCCAATACAGTGGACCCCCGGTTAACGAACTTTTTTCATTCCAGTAGTATGTTCAGGTGCCAGTACTGACCGAATTTTTTCCCATAAGGAATATTGTGAAGTAGATTAGTCCATTTCAGACCCCCAAACATACACATACAAACGCACTTACATAAATACACTTACATAATTGGTCGCATTTGGAGGCGATCGTTAAGCGGGGGTCCACTGTATTTTGATGCCAAAGAGCGCCGTTAGTCGATTTTGGCGTTAGTCGATGCTGCCATTGGTTGAGGGTCCATTGTAATTCTTAAAATTAAATTACCTAGTTTAGATTGTTCTCATTATCTCTTACAGAATACCTTTGAAAACCTATGTAATAATTGCTATACTAACCGTTGGCACAATGGGATTTTCGAATTCATCTGTTGGGTATCTTAACTACCCTACTCAGGTATGATGGCACTGCTAAATTATTGCAATTGCTTGAAATTAATAGAATATTGCTACTATAGCTTTATGTATAATAGGTATATATGACATTAATATCAAATTCCCTGTAGAATATGTAAAAGCTGACTTTGTTAAGTTTCAATACTGTACTTGCTTGTCAGGGAGGAAGTATAAGATTTATTTCTCATATTCAGGTTATATTCAAGTCTTGCAAGTTGATACCAGTCATGATTGGGTCAATACTCATTCTTGGAAAACGATACTCAATTTTGGAGGTCGTAGCGTGTCTGTGTATGAGTTCAGGCTTAATCTGGTTCACACTCGCAGATTCCACATTACAACCTGATTTCTCTTTTACTGGTAAGTTATATTGTTTGTCAAAAATATAGTTTTAACATGGAGTAGATATATCAAAATTATAACACTCTAGTAAGTACAGACTATAGCTTTATGCCTTTTTTCTTACTGTAATAAAATATTTTCTCCTGAGATATTGTCATGGCAAGTACAGAATTATTTTGCACTGCATGACATGAGTAGAACATGGGCAACTGTTTGTAGCAGTGGAAGAGCAACTGCCCAACCACTGGATCAGACCTGTGTTAAGAGAGAACAACTATATTTGGGAAAAAATGGTATGGTAATATTGACAAGATGTGGAAAAAAGAGACTTATGGACAGTTCAGGACATTTATTAGAGGAAATGTTTTGACACATGGCAAAATGTTTCCTCTAATTAATGTCCTGAACTGTATGTAAGTGTCTTTTTCCACATTCACAGTATATTTATGTCAGTCTCTGAGTTTCCCTGTCCTCTTGCACTCCCCAAAAAATGTTTGCCCCAATCCTGGGAAAAGTTCTAGTTGAGGGAACCATCCTGTGAATTGAAGCCATGCATGGAGAAATTAAGTGGTTAAGTGTTGCTCTTCGGTGAGGCTCTCACACGTATATAGAATTTGTTAGAGTAATTATTTTCTTCCATACTATCCCACATTAAAATTTTATGTGGCTTCTCTTGGAGATTATTATTGTCAAATGTTGGTTCTTTATATTAATAATTCAGTAACAATGCCCAGTCATCAGAGAAAATAATTTTGTTCATCATTGTTATAATGTACTATATTTAGAGTACAAACAGGAAGTGCATCTGCCTCGCACTCAACAGACAGAGGATCAAGCCTTCACCATGTCTTACACTGAATGACCCATAGGGGTTTAGTGCTTACATGAATTAAATATAAAATATTTAAATTTAAAAAATATAGTATGTATTGTGCACCTGTATTGTAGAACAGAATTTTGTTTTTCAACGAACTGGCCGTATCTCACCAAAGCAGGGTGACCTAAAGAGAAAAATGAAAGTTTCTCTTTTTAAATTTAGTAATGCATGCAGGAGAAGGGGTTAAAAGCCGCTTGCTCCCGGCATTTTAGTTGTCTCTTACAACATGCATGGCTTGTGGAGGAAGAATTCTGTAGAATGGAATTATTCTTTTTTCAACAAACCGGCCATATCCCACTGAAGCTAGAATAGAATTATAATTGGTATATTACTCCAAGTACACACTGTATGTATTGTTATTTTGCAGGGGTGATGTTAGTAAGTCTAGCATTGATATGTGATGCTATCATTGGAAATGTTCAAGAAGGAGCCATCAGAAAGTACAGTGAAAGTACAGCACATGTTGTTCTCTACTCGTATAGCATTGGCTTCTTCTTGATTTTGATTGGTCTTTTATTAATTGACCAGTTGGTACCTGCTGTCTCCTTTGCCTCTCAGGTGAGAAAAGTCAATTCTTTACTTTTATTTCTTAATAATATTTTGACTTTGCAAGTTAAATCATAAAATAGTTCAGGATCTGCCAGTGTAATTCAGTTTCATCTGGCTGGGTGTCAGTTTTCTTTTGATGTGGCGCAAGATATAGACTGAAATTGGAAATTGATCATAGTATTTTGTTCAAAATGTGCTCATTGGATTTAACAAACAAATCTGTTTTCTTTCCTAAAAGTCTTTCATACAATATCAATATAAACCCTTTTAAAATGATATTTTAAGAGATTTTTATTTTTTTCAACAAGTCAGCCAACTCCCACTGAGGCAGGGTGATCTAAAAAGAAAGAAAATCCCCAAAAAGAAAATACTTTCATCATCATTCAGCACTTTCACCTCACTCATACATAATAACTGTTTTTGCAGAGGCACCCAGATGCAACAGTTTAGAAGCATACATAAAGATATATAACATATACTGCAACATATCCCTCCAAACTGCCAATATTGCAAACCCCTCCTTTAAAGTGCAGGCATTGTACTTCCCATTTCAAGTCCAGCTATATAAAAATAACCAGTTTCCTTGAATCCCTTCACTAAATATTACCCTGCTCACACTCCAACAGCTTGTCAGGCCCCAAAAACCATTCGTCTCCATTCACTCCTATCTAACACGCTCACATACGCTTGCTGGAAGTCCAAGCCCCTTGCCCACAAAACCTTTACCCCCTCCCTCCAACCTTTTCGAGGATGATCCCTACCCTGCCTTCCTTCCCCTACAGATTTATACGCTCTCCATGTCATTCTACTTTGATCCTTTCTCTCTAAATGACCAAACCACGGTCAACAACCCCTCTTCAGCCCTCTGACTAATACTTTTATTAACTCCACACCTTCTCCTAATTTCCACACTCCAAATTTTCTGCATAATATTTACACCACACATTGCCCTGAGACAGGACATCTCCACTGCCTCCAACCGCCTCCTCGCTGCAGCATTTGCAACCCAAGCTTCACACCCATATAATAGAGTTGGTACCCCTATACTTTCATACATTCCCTTCTTTGCCTCCATAGATAACATTTATTGTCTCCACATATACCTCAACACACCAATCACCTTTTTTTCTTCATCAGTTCCATGGTTAGCCTCATCCTTCATATACTCATCCACTGACATGTCAGCTCCCAAATATCTGAAAACATTCACTTCTTCCATACTCCCTCTCTCCAATGTGATATCTTCCACACTCCCTCTCTCCAATGTGATATCCCGGGTCACCACTCTTGGAAAAGACCCGGGCCGGGAGAGTACCGGCAAATAAAAAAAAAAAAAAAATCCAATTTTTCTTTATCTAAATCATTTGATACCCTCATCACCTTACTCTTATCTATGTTCACTTTCAACTTTCTACCTTTACACACCCTCCAAAACTCGTCCACTAACCTTTGTAATTTTTCTTTAGTCTCCCATAAGCACAATATCATCAGCAAAAAGTAATTGTGTCAGCTCCCATTTTTAATTCCCCATAATTTAATCCCACCCTTCTCCTGAAAACCCTAGCATTTACTTCTTTCACAACCCCATCTGTAAATAAATTAACCTTTTCACTTTTTCGGTCGTATATATACGGTTTATGAGCCAATGTGTTTGATGTACAGTGGACCCCTGGTTAACGATATTTTTTCATTCCAGAAGTATGTTCAGGTGCCAGTACTGACCGAATTTGTTCCCATAAGGAATGTTGTGAAGTAGATTAGTCCATTTCAGACCCCCAAACATACACGTACAAACGCACTAACATAAATACACTTACATAATTGGTCGCATTGGGAGGTGATCGTTATGCGGGGGTCCACTGTATATAGTATACTCAAAAATTCTAGTGGCTTCAAATCAAGCAGGAGAAAGCTGGTAGGCCCACATGTGAGAGAATCGGTCTGTGTGGTCAGTGTGCACAACATGAAAAATATCCTGCAGCATGCAATGCATAATGAGAAAAAAAAACTCCAACCCTGTTTTTGGATTAAAATGCTGACTTTGAGGTGTATTTTTGTATAGTTTTTATGGTTATATTATTGTTTTCGTAGTCACATTTGATAGAATGGAAAATATGTTATAGAAATAGAGGTGATTTTGATTGGTTTTACTATGAAAAGGACCTTAAAATGGAGCTCAAAGTAGGGGAAATGTTTGATTTTTGCTGATGTTCAAGAGTAAGCAAATGATGTCATTTTCCAATAAATGTCCAACTAGCCATTCTAATATGCAGTCATGAATGGGTTGATATTATTTTTACAAGTATTACAATATTGCAGTAGTCTGCATAACAGTGAATCTTCTATTTTTTGTTTGCATAAAAATTCAAAATAGAAAGCAAGAGTAATATCAGAGGGGCCTGGAGATGTGACTGATGAACAAAGAAAATGTTGTTTTAGAGCCAAGAATGTCTGCATTGTTCATTCTGGACCCTATTTTGAAATTGGCATATTTTTTAATTTGCATGAAATTGGCCAAATTGCCAATTTCTGACCACTTTATTGGGTAGTTGAAATTGGTAAATGGGGAGTTTCTTGTACTCAATTGATAGAAGAAATGGAGTTCTAAAGAAATAGTTATGAGTTTGCTCAACTGGAACAATGGAATTAGCGGAAAATAGGGCTCAAAGTGGGTGAAATCGCCGATTCGTAAATATCACCAAGGTCACTAACTTTGCGAGAGTGTAATTTCGTAAGTTGTCCATCAAATTTCGTGCCTTTGGTGTCATTACCATCGGGAAAAGATTCTCTATTATTTCATAAGAATTTTTTTTTTTTTTTTTCAAATACAGTGGACCCCCGCTTAACGATCACCTCCCAATGCGACCAATTATGTAAGTGTATTTATGTAAGTGCATTTGTACGTGTATGTTTGGGGGTCTGAAATGGACTGATCTACTTCACAATATTCCTTATGGGAACAAATTCGGTCAGTACTGGCACCTGAACATACTTTTGGAATGAAAAAATATCATTAAACGGGGGTCCACTGTATTTTGCGACACCAGGAGACACCTCAGGATTTGCGGTTGTGTCAGTCAAAGGGCTGAACAACTGTAGTTACATTGCACATCCCTGTCTAAGACCTACTTTTACCAGGAAGTAATTTTTTTCTCTTCTACACACCCTAACCTGAGCCTCACTATCCTCATAAAAACTCTTTACAGCATTTAGTAATTTACTACCTATTCCATATACTTGCAACATCTGCCACATTGCTCCCCTATCCACTCTATCATATGCCTTTTCTAAATCCATAAATGCAATGAAAACTTCCCTACCTTTATCTAAATACTGTTCACATATATGCTTCAATGTAAACACTTGATCTACACATCCCCTACCCACTCTAAAGCCTCCTTGCTCATCTGAAATTCTACTCTGTCTTACCTGTAATTCTTTCAATAATAACCCTACCGTACACTTTTCTTGGTATACTCAGTAAACTTTTTCTCCTATAATTTTTACAATCTCTTTTGCCCCCCTTCCCTTCATATAAAGGAACTTTACAAGCTCTGCCAATCCCTAGGTACCTTCCCCTCTTTCATACATTCATTAAACAAAAATACTGACAGTAAGAGATATTGTTAAAAAATTGTCTGGCTGGGTGCCCATCTTTGTTTGGTGTGAGACACTGAATTTAAAAACTAATCATAGGATTTCATTCAAAATCTTTAGGGATATTAATGCATACTGTGCTTATTGGGACAGACCAGATATGTATTAGTAATGGCTGATGATGATTATAACAGTTGGAAAAAATACTCTTTTATCTCGGACCATTTTCATTAGCTCTTTTTTGTGAATGATGCTTAAAAATAATTCTCCTTTCCAAAGGAAGTGCATAAAAAAATTAGTAGAAGGAATGTTCATCCTAGTTTAATTGTGAACACTTGTCTAAACTTTTATTATTCAACTCTTTTTGTTTTTTATTTCTTAAGATGCATTTGATGAAATGTAAACAGTTATTATAGTTGTAAATTGTAAACTGATGTATATTACATTATGTATTATATTTTCTCTGGAAGTTTCCTTGGGAGGTGTATGGGCGTGCAGTGGTACTCTCTGCTGCCGGGTTCTGTGGGGTGCAAGTAGTACTAACCTTGGTAACACTACACGGTGCCCTGGTGGCAGTCACTGTTACCACCTTCCGCAAGGCCCTCACTATATGCTTGTCCTTCCTCCTCTTCAGGAAGCCTTTCACTGTGCAGTAAGTTCTTAGACTTCAGTACTAAATTTGAATGTAGAGAAGAGTTAATAATTTCTCTTAAGTCTTTCTTAAATAATTAAAATTGTACTATACAACGCTCATTGTAACTTAATCTGTTGTTTCTTGTAATGGTGTGCATATATATGTATCAGAATTTATTCGTGATTATATTATTATTTATTTTTTTGATATATCATCCATCTCCCACTGAGGCAGGGTAACCTAAAAAGAGACACCAGAGTCTTTTTGTATTTAGTAATTTATACAGGAGAAGGGGTTACTAGCACTTTGCTCCCAGCATTTTAGTCACCTCTTATGACATGCCTGGCTTACAGAGGAAAGATTCTTCGCCACTTTTCCATGGAGTATTTCAACTACACATCTATATAATGTCAAGTAGTTTTAAGTTCTAGTTTTAGTTGCTCAAAATGATGTGCGTGATCAGGGACTTTCCATAATGTATGAAATGACAATTATGTAGTACTTTTTTTGTAAGTGAAACATGTTTTTATACCTCTCCATTCATAAAATATTATTTCACATGCTTAGTCTAATCTTTCTCGAAGTCAACAAATGAATACAAAAATTACTTTTTATTAAATTTTTTTTTTTTTTTTTTTTTGCTCTTTCTTCAGATATGTATGGGGTGGGCTGCTAGTTGTAGCTGGGATATATCTAAATATTTATGGAAAGAAGAGCAAGAGTTCTACTCCTTTCCTTGTGTCCATTCAGCAGATGTACATGCAGATCCAACAACAACTTGCTCCAAAGATTAGCCAAATCCACAAAGGTGACAGCTCCACATTCAACGTGTGAAGTATTCGCAATTTTTAATTTTGTTATTCTTTGCACTTTTTATTTGGCACTTTGGTTCACTGTTCATCTGGGGTATTTTTGGCTATTTTAATGTGAAGTTTTATATTGCAATATCAGTCTTCAAGGATGTGACTTAAGAATCAAATATAATTTGGAGAAATTAGAATATATTAATTAATTTGATACATTCTTGTGACCAGCAGCAGATCTACTATGAAATTAATGAAGCTTAAGCTTCAAGGCCTCTAATCCTGGAGGGGCCCCAAAAGAGACTTTAGACCACATTGCTTAAAAATTTTGGCTACTGTATGAGAAGGGGTTTTTAAGAAATAATAAATAATAATAATATAGTGTAATTCAATACACAATAATAATTAAAATAAAAATTAGAAGGTTATTAAAGCTTGTAGGCTAGTCGTTGCTGGTTGCAAAGGTTACCCCATACAGTTCAAGCTTATGGGCCCCAAAAATGTAAGTCCGCCGCTGGTTGTGTCAACGAGGTGGATTAGAACCATGTTTAGTGCTCTGCTGTGTTCAGTGGTAGTGCGTTTGTCTCGCATTTAGCAGACAGAGGATTGAGCTACTACTGTACCACTACTTTTTGTTGAGTGGTCCTCGTATGGGTTTAGAGCTTCACATAACCTGGAGTTTACCTGGAGAGAGTTCCGGGGGTCAACGCCCCCACGGCCCGGTCTGTGACCAGGCCTCCTGGTTAGGCCAGTAATTTTATATTGTGATTGAACAAAGCAAGTTAAGTGTATTTGCACTGTCCATCAGTGCTGTATGACCTTTATGGATTTAGTACCTACAATGAATTAATAATAATAATAATAATAATAATAATAATAATAATGATAATGATGTATTGCCAAGGATGAATGCATAGGCTTTATGTTTTATCCAGAGGATAGTGTAGACTCTGTAGTGCAATGACTGTGTATAACACTACAGGTGTCCCTTGTTTTATGCTGTAGATATATTCCAATCCCTGACACATCTGTACTTAGCTCAACCTGGACATAAACACTTAATTATGCATAATAGAAATCTTCAGTGCACCTTGCAAAGTGTGCTGTTCGAATATACCTACTATAAATTGCATATACAAAATTGCTAATAGAAACAGGATCTGGCTTAATAGCCAGCTTGCAGAAAAGGAATCTGCTTAGAGCGAGAGAAACCTGTATTCGACTGTCTGTCAATAATTTTTCATCTGCTAGATCTCGTGACTTTTTTTTTTTTAGGTTGTATTACATTCTTTTTGTATTGTGGTATTGTTATCAGTAATATAAATCATTACAGTATTTATAAATGTTTGTATATTTATAATTGTTTAAATATATTGTATATAATACTAGTATTTCTTTTATTCAAAATGTTATATTACATATACTGGAGTGTCGGACTTGAGTCCTGGAAACAGGAAGTACAATGCCTGCACTTTAAAGGAGAGGTTTGGGATATTGGCAGTTTGGAGGGATATGTTGTGTATTTTTATACGTATATGCTTCTAAGCTGTTGTATTCTGAGCACCTCTGCAAAAACAGTGATTATGTGTGAGTGTGGTGAAAGCATTGAATGATGATGAAAGTATTTTCTTTTTTGGGATTTTCTTTCTTTTTGGGTCACCCTGTCTCGGTGGGAGACGGCTGACTTGTTAAAAAAAAAAAAAAATGTATAATAACAATTGGATGTATTTTTTTCTTATTTGATAAGGAAAAATCTTAATAGAAATCAGATATATCTTTATTTTGATAAAGTAATTCTCAAGCAAAATATGAATGTATTAAGTTTTACATGCAATCTGCAACTGACAGACGTACCAGCTATGAACTTCCAAGTCATGAATGGATCTCTTTGAAACCTCTTAGTTTCTTATGACTGTTACTTTGTAGATACATGCATGCATTGTAAACATTTTCACACAAATTATTTTTCAAATATTATTTCTTTGTCTCCTTCTGAGGTACGGTGACCTGATAGAAGAAAACACTTTCACTGTCACTCATTCAGTCACTGTCTCACCACCAGAAGTGCATTTTCATTACAGTTCAGATGACACTCCAAACTGCAACATCCCTAACTCAACTTCAGGGTGCAGGCACTGTACTTTCCACCTCCAGGACACAAAGACCAGCTAACCCGTTTCCCTGAATCCTTCCATAAATGTTACCTTGCTCACTCTCCAGCAACATGTCAAATTATAAAAACCACTTGCTTCTACTTACTACTATCTAACATGCTCATACAAGCCTGTTGGATGTCCAAGCATCTAGCAGTTAACTCCTCTACTCCCCCCTTCCTCCTTCCCTCTACCCCAGATTTATATTTCCTTTTAGCTAACCTGTTTTTCTCCATTCTCACTAAATTTCCAAACCACTTAAGCAACCCCTCCTGAGGCCTCTGAATAATATTTTTCCTACCTCCACACCTCTATAATCTTCAACCTCTGAATTCTCTGCATGATATTTACACCACACATTGCCCTCAAACACGACATCTCTACTGCCTTCAGCTTCCTCCTCACTGCAATGTTCAAAACCCATGCTTCACACTGCTTCACACCCATACAACAGTGTTGGTTCCACTATACTCTGGTACATTCCCCTTTTTGCCTCCATGGATAAAGTTCTTTGTCTCCACAGATACCTCAATGCACCATCCACCTTTTCCCCTTCATCAATTCTATGGTATTTATGTAATAAGTTTGTGCATGAATTGTAGGCTCATGTTTTCTGGTAGAAATTGGTCATGAACTGTAGAATTAATAATTATGATTTTTTCTAGGTTATTTTTTCAAGCAAATACTGTTAATTGATATTTTTTATGTTAATTTTATACATGTGTCAGATGCAGAAACCTTATTGACTCTTTTTATTAAAGAAGCAGTGCAAAAGCCCAAATGATCTCTTCTTATTTTAAGATTACAAAATGACACTATATTTTTTTATAATCAGTTGTGTGGTTACATGATGTAGCAGAATGGTTAATTAAGTTTTTCTTCTTTCTTCATTTACATCTGTAAGAAGCCAGCTGTAATGTCTTAACTATGTCCAACATATTTATTACATATTTCTGTACTATAATGTATTCAGATACTCACTTATTTTTAATGATTCAAAACTTTTTTTTTTTGCATGATACTGGACATTCATATTGTTTGCATTGAATATATATCTGTCATCTATTACCACCATTTTTATAGCTCTCTGGTCTACCATTGGCATTATTCGAGGTAGCTAGATTGTAGATAAAGTAATTCTGATTCCATTTTCTTCCAAGACACTGTATGACCTCTACAGGTTTAGTGCTGCGTTGTGAATATAATCATAGTCACGTAGCTGGTTGTAAGCAGATAGCCATGATATGGAAAGTTTGTTCTTGAACTGTCTCTTTCCCAAGTACTTCCACATACCCTTATAGTTGAAGCAAGCCTTTCGGTTAGGGATTCTGTGTTCTTAGTATCTGCATCACTGTGTCCAAATTTTTTTATTTTTTTTTTTATTGCTAGTGCTTTCCCTTTCCCTTTTGAATATATTATACTTTGGTAAATGTGTAATGAAGTTTCAAGACTGATGATTTGAGTACCATCTACTGTTCCCTTAAGCTTACCATTCCTTCTATTGAATTTTAAAAATGCCCTGTAGGGGGTAGCATTGTCCAGGTTGGGAAATGCTGATCCATGCCATCCAACCATTATTTTTTTTTTTATCATAGGCACTGGCTGATTAATCTACATATATCTTTAACTTTTTCATTATCTTGTCTGCTTCTCACTAAACGAATTTTTATGATTTGCATTCCAAGCTGCAACATATTTGTTGTAATTATTTATTTAAACCATACTATAAATTCTTGTGTGACATTATTTAAGGAGTACAGTATTTTGTTATTAATTTTTAAAAGAAAACCATATGCTTTATTTTTTTAGTGTAAACAGACTAGTTGAAGGAAAAGGATATGTGAGCAAACACTTAGGATTTTTTATTAGGAAAACATTTCAGTCCAGGGCATTATTCATTCCTTGTTCACTTCATCATAGGTGTGAATAAGGTTCCAGGACCGATAATGTTACCTTATAAAATGTTGTGTGCTTTTCCTCAGCATGGCAGTATCATACACTGTACTGCATGTAGCATTTTTAAACTTTGTAAGTTAATGATGCATTGTGGCAAGTCAGGAATTTCAGTACTCTTTATGATGTAAATGATTTAGAAAACTGACAAGTTGAAGAATGAGACATTTGTGCAGCTTTTGAGATTCTTTATTAAGGAAATGTTTCGCCAGTGGCTTCTTCAGTCCAGTGCAGAAAAGAATGGTGGAAAATGAAGTGTTTGAGGTAATCAGTCCCTCAGACTGAAGAAGCCACTGGCTGGCAAATATTTTTTATTATTTTTTTTATTAACACATTGGCCGTCTCCTACCAAGGCAGGGTGGCCCAAAAAAATAAAAACTTTCATCATCATTCACTCTATCACTGTCTTGCCAGAGGTGCACTCACACTACAATTCTAAAACTGCAACATTAACACCCCTCCTTCAGAGTGCAGGCGGTTGGAGGCGGTGGAGCTGTCCTGTCTAAGGGCAATGTGTGGTGTAAATATTATGCAGAGAATTCGGAGTGTGAAATTAGGAAAAGGTGTGGAGTTAATAAAAGTATTAGTCAGGGGGCTGAAGAGGGGTTGTTGAGGTGATTTGGTCATTTAGAGAGAATGGATCAAAGTAGAATGACATGGAGAGCGTATAAATCTGTAGGGGAAGGAAGGCGGGGTAGGGGTCGCCCTCGAAAAGGTTGGAGGGAGGGGGTAAAGGAGGTTTTGTGGGCGAGGGGCTTGGACTTCCAGCAAGCAAGCGTGAATGAGCGTGTTAGATAGGAGTGAATGGAGACGAATGGTATTTAGGACCTGACGAGCTGTTGGAGTGTGAGCAGGGTAATATTTAGTGAAGGGATTAAGGGAAACCGGTTATTTTAATG